TTAATGGAAAACCTAAAGAGCGAAGATTTACAGTTTCAGAGAGTTCTTTTCCTTTCCTCTTTTTTTTTTTTATCAACTTAACACAAAGCCAGAATGACCTGGAAAGAAACCTCAGTTGAGAAAATGTCCCCATCAGACTGTCTTTAGGTAGGTCTATAGGGCATTTTCTTGACTGATAATTGGCGTTGGAGGGTTCAGCTCACTGTGGGTGATGCTGCCCCTGGGCAGGTGGTTCTGGATGTTATAATCAAGTAGGCTGTGTAAGCTGTGGGAAGCAAGCCAGAAAGTAGCATCCTTCATGGCTCCTGCCTCAGTTCCTGTCTCTAGGTTCCTGCCTTGAGTTCCTGCGCTGACTCCCCTCCATAAACTGTAGCCTGAAACAGACCCTTTCCCTTCTGAGGTGCCATTGGTTGCTGCATTTATCTCAGTAACAGAAAGGACACTGTAACAGCTCATATTCACTTTGCTCTGTGTTCCTGGGCACATTCTGAGACATTAATGTCACAGTTTCAGGAGTGGGTGGTAGATGCCATTCACATCACAGGGGACAGGAAACAAAGAAGAAGGCATACCAGAAGAAACCAGAGAAAGATGTAACCCCCCCTGTGACCTGCTTCCTCTGCCTGGGTGGTTTTTACCTTTCACATTAGGAATCCATCAAAGGATTAATCTATTCTCTACATCAGGCTCTCACGATCTGACTTTCTGGAGATACCTTTATCAACGCCATGATCCACGAGCTTTGCCAGCTCCTGGCTATCTTTACTTTAGAAAGATTAATTTCTTTTTTAATTATCTATATTCATGTGTGTCTGTGAATGGGTATGTGCATGTGAGTGCTGGAGCCCTTGGATGACAAAGGAGGCTATCAGATTGCTACAGATGGTTGTGAGTTGTCTGAAGTGAATGCTAGGAACTGAATGTAGGCCCTGTGCAAGAGCAGTGTAAGTTCTTACTGGATGAACCACCTCTCTAGTGCTGTTAGATTAATCTTTGAAAGCTGTTTTCTTTTAAAAGAAAAGAATCATAAAATAGAAAACATTATGCAATTGTGGTTATTTTCATATCCTAATTAGAACACTAATGTGGTTAAATACAGAAGAGTGTTGTGAGGAAAAAGTAGTACCTATAAAATAAACCTGTCAAAATATTCATTTATTTTTCTCGTGAGCATTTAATTAACTCATTTGCAGTTGTTAAAAGCATATAAATAAGTTGTCCTAAAGTATACATATCCTGGGAACAATAAATGTCCTCTTAAATTTTTAAAGACAATATTTTCAGACAAGATTTTGCTATGTAGCCCTGACTGGCCTCAAACGTACAGAGATCCCTTGTCTCTGCCTTCTGAGTGCTGGGATTACACTGTATACTACTACATGGGCTTACTAAATATACCCATATGTAGGTTTGTCTCTATATGAAAAACATTTTAAGTAAGTAATGATTTATGTTCAAACACAGTTTTATACTGGAGAAGCTAAAACACTTTTCCCTTTTGGCATGGATGAAGCGAGTTCCTGCCTGCTTCATTTATTCTTTGGCTAGGTATTAAGATTGAGTGGTTACCAAGCAGTCTGTTACCAAGGCCTGAGGCCCTGCCTCCATCTCTGGAGTCTTGCTGACTAGTCCCAATATATTGATATTCTCTGAAAGGGTTTGTTTTGAAACGCTTTTCTGCCAGAATGTGTTATGGATTAGAAGGAAAAATATGAAAGACTCTAAAATAGGCCAAAATTCAATAAGCTTCCACATTTGCCAAAAAACATTCTGCTGTTATCATATCACAGTCAGTTTAATTATAATCTGGCATTTTGGTTTTTATGGCTTTCCAGATTCGGTCCGTCTATCCAAATAAATATTTATTGTGAACTTTTCATGACTCTGCTCTAGGCAGGGCCTGGATGACAAAAAAACAATGAATGAAATTAATAAAAGTTTTGTTCCTCTGTTGTTTACATTCTTTTGAGGACCTTAAAAAAAAGAAAGAAAAGGGAACATGTAAAATATGTAGAGCGTTTGACAGTGATGTCTGTCATAGTTAAAAGAAAAAAAATCTACAGAGAAGGAAGTGAAAGGCAGAGCTCTACCATCCTTCTAAATGGGGCACCTTGGCATGGCAGAACATGTTAAACTCAGGGAACGTGGGGTGTGGCAATGTTGACGAAGGACTCCCCCCTTCTCTGAGCTGGCCATAGACTTTCAGGTGGGCGGCGCCTTCCTATGCATGCTGGGAAGTATTGACCTTATGATGGGGAATGTCATTCTGTAAATCTGTCTCTTATTGGTTGTTGAATAAAGCACTGTTGGTCAATAGGGAAGCAAGATAGGTGGGACTAGGAGTCAAGGAAGATTCTAGGAAAGAGAGAGATATAGAGAGATACCATGCAGCCACCCGAAAAGTAAGAGGTCCGGACCTTTTCTCCAGTAAGAGAAATACTTAGATTAACAATTATTGGGTAAATACTTAAGTCAGAGATAGCCAGTAAGAAACAAGCAAACGGCCAACAGCTTCATAATTAATACAGTGTGCTGTGTGTTATTTGGGAACTGCAACCGTGGCAGGGCCCAAGGCAACTAGCAAGGAAGACTACACTCCATAGACAACCTTAATCCCTACAGGCAAAGGAATCTCAGTGATGAGTGAGCCTTGCTCTGTTTCCCTTAGTTTGGGTTCCTTACCTCCCTGTCCGTAGTCCCTTGTAGTCTCCATGCTCTCCTCAAACCAGCAGACAAGGAACAGAGCCCAGCTCCACAAGTCTCACTCCACAGCCTGAGGAGTTCCTTTGATCTCTTAGAGGCCTTCACTCAGGCCTCAGTGGGATCTCTGGTGTCAAAAAGAATTTCATGGTGACCCAGCATGATGAAGTGGAGTTGGAGATTTCACTAAAAATCCTACACTCAAGGGAGGAACAAGCTTACGCCTGAGAGCATGGGTGTGGGTTTCATTCAGAGCCTGGTAGAGAGTGCGGCAAAGGCACACACACGTGATGGAGAGACGTCCATGCAGACAAAACACTCAGACACATCAAGCAGAATAAATCTAAAAGGAGACTAAGCTGTCCTACTCTTAGATTGTAGAAGGATTTGAAAATTCCCATATTGATGTCCTCAAGACTTTGACTCCATTGACACTAAGCTGTGTGTACCTCAGACTTCACTCTGGATTGAGTAATATCCCTGAAGAAGAGATCTGGGACCAGGACTCTCCGTTATTCCTGTATCTTAGAGGAAAAAGCCCATCTCTATAGGCCTTGCAAATTCAAGATACAGTTTACAGAAATCAACCTGTAGTCTGAAAGCTTTCCCATGTTGGGAATTTGTAGACACAAAGTGAATTCATGCATGCTAAATAAATTTGCACGCTTTTCTCCAGGTAGTTTGTCTTTTGGGGTACAACTTGAGGGTATCTAAGAGGACAGAGGGTAAAGGTGCTTTTCTTTTCTCCTACCCTAATAGGGAGGGACTACTTGATGCTTTCTTAAGGACATCCTTCCCCTCTGAATATCGATGCCAGAGTTTGAAAATTGCTGTCTGTTTCCGTGACTTGTGACACTCAGTCACATTGTCTGCCAAAGATTAGGTGGGAAGACACCACTGCGATGGGAAGGTTGTACAGCAGGGGATGTAACCAGAGTCTTTAGGCCACAAGCCAGGGCTCCACTACTAAATTCAGATTTCTGTGTGCATGTGTGCTTAGATGAAGAGCTTTGGTAAAACATTTTGATAAAGCAGGTAGAAAAGGCCTTATCTAGAAGGTGACATTAGCTAACTGGTTGGCCTTCTGGTGAGCGGTTAGTATTTGGAGAAAGTTACGAGGCTGGGTGGTGGTGGTGGTAGTGGTGATGGTGGTGGGATTTGCCTTTAATCCCAGCACTTGGGAAGTAGGGACAGGCAGATGTCTGTGAGTTCAAGGACAGACTGGTCTAGAAAACAAGTTCTAAGGCATCCAAGACTAACACAGTTTCGAAAACCAAAACCAACCAAACAAATAAAAAAATAGCATATGAACCAGGTATGGAGGTGCACACCTTTACTCCCAGCATTCTGGAGCCAGACACAGGTGATGAGTTTCAGATCAGCTTGGTCTACAGAGCAAGTTCTAGGACAGCCAGGGCTAAACACAGTAAAACCCTGTCTCAAAAAACAAAATGAAAAGAAAAGAAAAGAAAAGAAAAAAAAACCGAAACCAAACCAAAAGGAATACCATATGAGGTCTGGACAGATGGCTCAGTGGTTAAGAGTGTTTACCAGTCTTGTAGAGGACCCAAGTTTGGATCCTATCACTCTCATTGGTTGGCTCATAATCACTGTGACACCAGCTCCAGGAAATCCATTAAAATGCCCTCTTCTGTTTTTTTTGTTTTTGTTTTTGTTTCTTGCCATTCACCTTGTGCAGGAGGGCAACACACACACACACAACACAGATACACACATACAGACACACACACAGACACACACATACACACAGATATACACACAGACACACACATACACACAGATACACACACACAGACACACACACACAGATACACATACACAGACACACAGATACACACACACAGATACACACACAGGCACACACATATACACACACTAGCTAAATAAATAAATAAATAAACGAATAAATAAATAAACGAATAAAAGCGTAGCACCTGAAAGAAGGAAGGCAGGAGCAAAAGCAGGCACAGGGGAAGTTTGCTGTGACAGGGGAGTGGCGGGAACTATGCAACTGGCTTATAAAGGGACGTGAATCTGGTGTCCCTTATAAAGGGACGTGAATCTGGTGTCCCAGTGTTTTTGAGCACGTGAAAGCTGTTGGCTTACCGGCTCTCTGGAATGATTTCCCTTTCTTAATAACCTGTCTCCATATCTATTTTTAATCTTGAGTCTCTGATGTGATCTTGGCCCCAGGACATGTAGGGGGTGGCTTGAGCCTCATGCCATAACACGAGTCTTCTGCTTTTTACTTCTGTCCCTTTGAGACAGCTGCTCTTCTGATGTCACCTTCACTGACTGCTGTGCTCGGAGTACTGAAAAAAAAAAAAACCGACTTGGACATCTTTGAGAAAGAGAGTGCTGTTTTCAAACTCCTCTTGGATTTGAAGCATTGTTTTGACATCTTAGAGAAGGTATTGTCCATCTTTTAATAAAATCAGTTAACTGCATCCTGGACTTCAATCCAACCCTTTTTCTTTACCTGTCTCTGAAAATGTATCTGCCAGTCTTGAAGTCCCAGAGCCTTCTGGGGGGCAATTTGAATTCAGCTTTGAGGGTAAACTGCTCCTTTGTTTCTGGCGGAAAAAAAAAATCTCTTGACTAAGACATTTAGATATGCAAATGAAAGATTTCTGTCAGAAGTTGTTCTTTCTCTATTTATGGCAGAGAAAGGCCTAAAGGTTGAACCGTAACTGGGAGCAGATGTTTGCCTGCCCAGAGTGCAAAGCTGAACAGTTAGTTATGAAGCTCCAGAGTCTCCCTCATGTCTTCTTAAGAGGCCCCTCCCCCTTTAAGGTAGACCCCAGAGTCTGGAAATTATTGTTTATTCTTCTGGAGATTGCAGCTTCAGCCACAGCGTCTGGCAGAGATTAGGAGGGCAGGCAGCTCTGTGGCAGGAGGATACAGAGCAACTCTAACCAGAGTCTCCAGGACACAAGCGAGAGCTCTGGCAGCCCCACAGACTAGGTTCTGTCCCCCTACTTCCCTCATGCCAGTGCTCCTGAGATGAGGAGAGAAGCTGGGGTGTGGCTAAGTCCGTAGACTGCTTCCCGACCATGCACAAACATGAGTTTGAGTCCCTGCATTGTATTAGCCAGATATGGTAGCACTTTCCTGTAACCCCAAACTCTGGGAGGTAGAGGTAGGAGGGTGACAAGTTCAAGGTTATCTTCAGCTGGGTGACAAGTTCAAGGTTATCCTCAGCTGTATAGTGATCTTAAAGCCATCCTGGGGTGCAGGAGACTTTGGGGAGCTGGGGCAGGAGGAAACCTAATGGAAACAGTAAAAGAGACTTAATTAGTATTGGCCGTATCAAGAAGAGTGATAAATAAAGGAGTCCAGTGACCCCCACCCCTCCCAAGCCCATTGTGAGCACACTATGTCAGAATCGTAGACAGATGTATTTATGTCCTTCCTAAATGCCACAATTCACTGGTGAACACAGATTCTTTAGTCTAGTCTTACTTATATTAACTCTCAGGTCACATATTACACACCACACAGCAATCATATTTATCTATACAGGTTACAGATGGCTACAAAGGGTTAAAGATGCACTGGGCTCAAGCTTTCCCCAAGTTCTCACTAGAGGCAGAAGCAGAGCTGATCCCCATGCAGAAAGTCAATGCAAGGCTTAGATACCAGCAGTCGGTTAAGAGCCCCTGCTGATGGGAGTGGAGCTGTCAATCACAGGGCTGAGCTGAGCTGAAGGGTGAGGTGTAAACAGAGATGGATGGATGGATGGCAATTTAAATAAGCTGTGTCAGCAGTGGGGATCAAGCTGAAGCCGTGGGGACAATTTGGAGCTCTCTGCATTGTGGCCTCTTGAGACTCACATTGGGATGCCTGAATTCAGGTCGAGAAGCACTGTCATCCTTGCAGTGTTCAATGCCATCCCCTTCACGGGGTGGACATCTGAGTCTGGAGGGCACTGCCTGCTATTCCCATGTTCTTGGGTCCTAGAACACAGAAGCGGATAGTGATGGGAATAGAGATATTTACTAAGAATGACAGGAGGACATCTGAAAATGAAAGTAGGCTAGAGAAGGGACAGGCCCAAGGCTCAGAAGTCTCACGACCCTTTTCTGGGAGAGCTTGTGGGCTTTTTCTCACAAATGCCATTCTGTTATACAAAAAGTCCAGTGAGAAAGGGTTTCCTGTTTCTCTGCCAACTGGTTTCTTAAATTTTTACTATCTTTGAACATTTTCAAGGTGAATTCTTTGAGAACTTTATACAAAGTGTTTTGATCACATTCAATCCCCTGCCCCTCCATTCCCCTGCTTCATATCCTCTTTTTAAAAAATTTAAAATCCATTGACTCTAATTTGTGCTGTTCACATACTCTGGGTGTGGGGCCATCCACTGAGGTGTGGTTGACCTATCAGGAGTCACATCCTTAAAGAAAATTGGCTGCCCCTTCCAAGAAACCATCAAGTGCCCATCGCTCCACAGTTAGCCAGTGAACCCTTCTCATTCTATTCCAGAGTATTCACTGTCGTGATTTTGTGCAGACAGCCACAGCTGCTGTCAATTCATGGGTGTAGCATCCTGTCATGTCTAGAATACGTTTCACTCTGGTCCTCCCAGACATCTGGCTCTTACAGTCCTTCTATTCCCTCTCCCACAATGCTCGCTGAGCCTAGCGGAGAGGGTGTGATGGATGCCCCATTTGAGGCTGAGCTCTCCACAGCTGTGCTAGTCTTGATGGTTCTCTCTCCTTGCCCTACAGTCCTAACACACAACTGAGAGGGTTGTACTATTCACTGTCTGCTGCATAAGTCCTGATCCTATTTTTTTCCCCTGATGTGGTACCCATACACCCCTCTTCCCAGATGGTCCCAACCTATGTTGTTTAAGGTTTACCTTTCTGCTTTCAGGAATAAGTTATTTATCAGTTTGTGCATCATAGGTGTTGTTGGACAGGTAGTGATATATATGTGTCCAAAGAGGTGCAGGCTCATCCTGTCTCTGCATTTGTGTTCAAAAAGGGAGTGGGGAGGGAGTAGTGTGTGAGGGGGTAGGGGGTGAGGGTGCTTAATTTTGCCTCAATGATGAGATGGGACAGACATAGTTGACTTCTTAGGGGAGGTCTTACCCTCTCTGAGGAGTGGATGGGAGGTGGGTTGGGGGAAGGTTGGGGGAACAGGAGGAGGGAAGGGGAACTGGAATTGGAATGTAAACAAAGTAAAAATAAAAAAGACTGTGTCTTAGTTACTTTCCTACTGCTATGGAGGGACACTATGACCAAGGTGACTTATAAAAGAAAGAATTTAATTGGGGGCTTGCTTACAGTTCCAGAGAGCTGAGTCTATAACCATCACAGTGGAGAACATGACTTCAGACAGGCATGACTCTGGAGCAGGGGGATAAGAGCTTACATCTAATCTACAAGCAGGAGGTAGAGAGAGTAGCCCATCCCCAGTGACACGCATCCTCCAAAAAGGCCACACCTCCTAATCCTTCCCAAACAGTTCCCCCAACTAGGAGGCAAACATTCAAATACATGAGCCTGTGGGGGACATTCTCATTCAAACCACCACAGGGTGTGAAGCAACATAAGGAAGGAAGAGTGTATTTTTGTAGGGTACAACCTGTCATGTTGGGGAAGGCATGGCAGCAGCCGGGTGAGGTGGCTAGTTACATTGTATCCCTGTGAGATGGCTAGTTACATTGTATCCCAGTCTGGGCAAGGTGGCTAGTTACATTGTATCCCAGTCTGGGATGAAGTTGCTAGTTACATTGTATCCCAGAGGATGGGTTGGCTAGTTACATTGTATCCCTGTCAGGGTAAGGTGGCTAGTTACATTGTATCCCAGAGGGTGAGTTGGCTAGTTACATTGTATCCACAGCCAGGAAGCAGAGAGACACAACTCAGGTCCTCAGTTCACTTTCTCCTCTTTGTTTAGTTCCAAACTCCAGCTATTTAGTTCCAAACTCCAGCTATTAGGACGGAGCCACTAACGTTAAAGGAGGATCTTCCCAACACAGTTAACCCAGTCCAGAAATCCCTTCAGGGACATGCTCCACAGTTTATCTCCTAGGTAATTCTAGATCCTGTTTCGTGGCCATCAGTGTTAGCCATTACACAACATTTATTGGATGGCTGTCGGCCAGAAAATGACTCGGGCTGAGTTCTCATAATTACAGTAATGAGGTCAGATAGCTGGGGGAATAAGACTAAAAGCCAAGAATATTTGTAACTAAAATTTGGGAAAGGAAAACCTAGATCGGTTACCCTGATCTTACAGCGACAAAAGCTAGGGGGCTGGGGGTGGTCATGCAAGACAAGGAAGGAAAATGGTGCTTAGGAAGTGCCTGCTGTTTCTGGGTTTGCTGGGCTGAATGGTCTAGTCTATGTGTAAGCGGAGTGTGGCTGCCTGGTGGCCAGCTGTGATGGACTTTAAGTCAAGGTGTCAAGAGACCCGAGGGAAGTGTAACAGTCTTTTGTTGGCCTGCCCTAAAGCTGTCGCTTGATCCAATTCCCTTACCCCTTGTAGCCTCCATCCCCTAATCCTTGTCATTAAATTCAGGACATCTCAGTAAGTTTCCCCTCTCAATACCTCACAGTATGGATTAAATTTCAACCCAAGAAGCCCGGGGGAGCACTCAAGACCACACTGAAAGTACAACCTTTACTTTCTTAGGTTCTTGTCTTGGAGCACAGAAGTTAAACAGCAATAGGAAGAATAGATTGTTATTCTCATGCCCATGTAGATTTTTATAGACGTGCGTGACCCGAGGAAGCAGTGAGAATGAGTGGTTTATAGCCACCTTAGTAGTAGGAGTTGCAGTAGTGCCTGGTGAACAGATGATTTCTTGGGAGAGAGACTGGAGAAGGGCCCTTGTGGGAAGAAAAATAACATTTTAGAAAATGTACTTTTTAGAAAGAACAGAGGGGGTGATATAACAGGTTTTGTGACAATGTCTGTTTGGGTAGTATCTTAGTTAGGATTTTCTTGCTATGAAGAGACACCATGACCACAGCAACTTTTATAAAAGGAAAACATTTAACTGTCATCATGTCAGGAATCACAGCAGCATGCAGGCTGGAGAAGTAGCTGAGAGTTCTGCATCTTGATGTGCAGGCAGCAGGAAAGACTGTGACACGCTGGTCAGGTTTCAGCTTCAGAGACCTCCATGCCCACCCCCTAGTGACACACCTCCTCCAGCAAGGCTACTCCTACTCCAACAAAGCCACACCTCCCAATAGTGCTGCTCACTGCTCACTATGGGTTTTTTTTTTTTTTTTTTTTTTTTTTTTTTTTTTGGTTTTTCGAGACAGGGTTTCTCTGTATTGTTTTTGAGGCTGTCGGTCCAGCCTGGCCTCGAACTCACAGAGATCCGCCTGCCTCTGCCTCCTGAGTGCTGGGATTAAAGGCGTGCGCCACCACAGCCCGGCTTTACTCTGGGTTT